ACAGGGATTTTTATTTTTCTGATAGGATTGCACGTGAGTTCAAGCTGCCCTCGCACTTGCGGCACAGCCAAGGATGATGAAAGGATCATGAACTCTTTATCTCCTGCCCCCCTTTGCTTCCACCTCCAAGTGCTGGGATTATAGGAGCCAGCACCCACCAAAGTCAGGCTCCTTGGTGCGTTCTCAGTCTGCTTTCCCCCTGTGAACTATCTTTTTAAATAGCATCCATTTTAGTCATCAACAGGAAACATCTCAGGTACACACACCTGCAGAAAACAATCTCTCTCTCTCTCTTTTGTCCCTCATTCTTTTCTTCTTTAAAAAAAAAAGTTATTTATTTAGTATACAATGTTCTATCTGCATGTGTGCCTGCACACCAGAAGAGGGCACCAGATCTCATTATAGATGGCTGTGAGCCACCATGTTGTTGGGAATTGAACTCAGGACCTCTAGGAAGAGGAGCCAGTGCTCTTAACGTCTGAGCCATCTCTCCAGCCCTTGGTCTCTTTCTACTGAAAACAAGGAGCTGCCGTATTTGCTGTGATCTTCGAGGCGGTTCCACAGCACCTGAAAGTCGCTGAGCATGCGGCAGGCCCACTCCCGGAGTTCCGCCTTCCAGCCTGACCTTCAGGCTCTCCAGTGTAATCACAACGGGGCCTCTTTTTCTGGAGAAGCCAGTTTCTTTTCTGTAGCAGGGTCTTTGCACCTACTGTGTGACTGACAAGATGCTCTCCGTCTCCTCCTGCTTCCGTTTTCTTGGCTCAGGGAGCCCACCCTGACTGGAGCCTAGCCTGTTCCTTGAGTCACCCACTTTCACAGCCACCTTTCCTATTTCAGCTCTTTCCTTCACTACTATCTGCCCTTGCCATTGGTCAACTCAAGGGCAGGAATCATGCCTGACTTAACAACACTTGGCCTGGGCAGCAGATGGCACCCAGTTAACCCTTAATGGCCCACTTGACCGGATGACTGGATGAATGGCAGCTGAGCCCTCAACACCCCTACGCCTTAACAATAAGGGCTTTCTCAAGCTTCTGCTTCATCTTCCTGTGGAGTCTCTGCCGACACATGCCAGCTGGTTGAGGAAGGAACATGTGGTGTCACAACTGTATCCGGGGTTCCCTTGCACTTACACAGACTAGCTCCTCCAGATGTACCCAGAATCCACCAAGTGTTCTGCAAGCCAAGGCAGAACTGAGACATGGAGAGAAGACATATTATACCTTCTGTCTAGGAAGGAAGCAAAAGGTTCTTCGGGTGCAGACTAGGGTAGAAGCCAGACGTCTAGGTTCCTTTTCCTGTTGCTGTGATAAAATGTCCTGACAAAAGTAAATTTAAGGAAGCTTTATTTTGCTTCACAGTTCAAGGGGAAGTCCATTATGGCAGTGTAGGCATAAAGGTGGAAGCTGGAGATGGCCGCCATGTTCTGCCCACAGTCAGAAGCAGGAAGCAATGATTATTTGCCCTTGGCTCACAGCCTAGGGAATGAAGGCAGCCACATCGCAATCACAAGATCTTCCACGGGTGTGCCCAGAGGCTAACCTAATCAAGACCATCCCTCACAGGCACACCTGGAGGCTTGCCTTATTCATCCAGACCCTGTCAGATTGACAATCACACTATCTGTCACAACAGTGCTAGTGTCTCAAACTAGGACATACGATGGTTTAGGTTAGATCACAACTTACTTCATGATCTTGGAAAATCATTCCCTGGGCTTTCCCTTCTTTTCTTGTTGTGCAGTTTAAAACGGTGGTTCAGAATTCAGATTATAGAGTTGTATTACCAGGGGCTAGGACTGAGCTCAGGTTGTACAACATAAATCAAGCATGGCAGTGCATGCCTATAATGCCAGCCTCTGGGGGGTGGTAACAGGAAGATGAAGGATTGAAGGCCATCCTGAGCTACAGATCAAGTTTAAGGCCTGAGCTACTTGAGCCCCTGTCTCAAAATAAATAAATAAATAAATAAATAAATAGATAGATAGATAGATAGATAGATAGATAGATAGATAAATTAATAAATAAATAAGTTTGTCACGTGCTGGGGGCATAGGGGACAGTGGTGTTTCATGCCTTAAATCCTAGCACTTTGGAGGCAGAGGCAGTCAGATCTGTGAATTTGAGGCCAGCCTGGTCTATAGAGCAAGTTTCAGGACAGCCAGGGCCACACAGAGAAACCCTATCTCAAAAAACAAACAAAACTAATTATCATACACACACACAAAAGAATAAATAAAGCCAAGCATGGTGAACACCTTTAATCCCAGCACCCAGGAGGCAGAAGCAAGTGAGACCCATCTAAATAAATAAATAGATAAATAAACAAATAAATAGATTTGTTTTAAAAAAATATCTGGGCACATGGTACATACCTATAAACCCAGCACTTGGGGAGGCAGAGGCAGGAGGAACTCTTAGTTTGAGGCCAGCCTGGTCTACACAGTGAGTCTAGGAGAGCAAAGGCGGATCTCTGTGAGTTCAAGGCCAACGTGGTCTACAAAGTGAGTCCAGGGAAGCCAAGGCTACACAGAGAAATCTTGTCTCAAAAAAAAAAAAAAAAAATCCACACTTCTTCCCCCAATAGTTGAATGAATCCTTGGTCACTACTCAGTGCAGCCTCTCTGAATCTCAGGGTCCCGATCTGTCAACTAATCGCTTAATTTCCCAACGATATGCAGGAAGGGTCCCAGTCACAGGTCAGTTCACACTCCTGGCCTATCACTCTCTGACCTCACCCCTACATCTGCTGCCCTTTGTGATTTGCTTTCATGTATTACCATTATGTATGAATAGTGCGTCATGCATGTCATGGTGTGTAGTGAGAGAACCGCTTTGTGGAGTCAGCTCTCTCTCTTTATGTGGCCTCCGGGACTTGACCTCAGGTCATCAGGCTTGTTGGGGAATGCCTTTACCCACTGAGCCATAGTTTGTAGGCCCACTTGTTGCAGCGTTTGGAGACAGGAGATTGCCGTGTAGCTTAGGCTGGCCAAAATTCACAGACCATCCGTCTCCTGCCTCAGCCTCTCAGATGCTGGGATTTCCAGGTGGTGGCCACCATGCATATCCTTTATGATAAAACTAATATAATGCACATATATTATGCATATGTGAGTGTGATGTGCGTGTGTGTATATATGCTATGGCACTCACGTAGAAGCCAGGCAGTTTTAGGGAGTTGGTTTCAGAGAACTGTTGTAAAAGTTGTATTATATTTATTTAATGTGTCACTGTGCATGTGTGGAGCCAGGGAACAACTTGGGGGGGGGGGGTTGCTCTTTGTACCAAGACCTTGCATGTAACAAGCAAGTGGGTTTGGGGGATCACACTCAGGTTGTGAGACAAGACAAGTGCCTTTACCCGCTGAGCCATCTCAATGACTCTTCCTGTTTGGTTTTTAAAAAACTGGTTTTATATAGCTCTGGCTGTTCTGGAATTCACTGTGTAGACCAGGCTGGCCTGGAGCTCATGGAGGTTCACCTGCCTCTGCCTCCCAAGTGTTGGGATTAAAGGTCTGTGCCACTATGCCTGGCTTTGTGATTCTTATTTGTTTTCTTTCTTTCTTTTTCAGTTTTGAGGCAGGGGTTTTCTCTGTAGCCCTGGCTGTCTTGTAGACCAGGCTGGCCTCAAACTCACAGAGACCTACCTGCCTCTGCTCCCAGAGTTCTGGGATTACAGGCATTATTCATCATGCCCAGCTTGTTTGTTTTTCAAGACAGGGTTTTGTTTTGTGGCCCTTCCTGTCCTGGAACTTGTTATGTAGACAAGGCTGTTCTGAAACTTGCTTTGTAGACCAGGATGGCCTTGAAATCAGGGATCCTCCTGTCTCTCTGTGTCCCTGTAGTGCTGGGATTTTATGATTTTGTATTTTCTTTTTAAAAATATTTATTTCTGTATGTATTTTATGTATATAGGTGTTTTGTCTGCACGTTTGCACACCAGAAGAGGGCATTGGATCCTATGAGGCACCAGTCAAAGACAATTTTGTAAGACATCATGTGGGTGCTGAGACTTGAACTCAGGACCTCTGGAAGAGCAGCCAGTTCTCTTAACCATCTCTCCAGCCCTGTCCTTTGTGATTTTTAAATTAAGTGGATTTGTTTGTTTCTCTTTGACGCCTGTTGCATTTTATTTTTCACTGTCAGGGATCAAACCCAAGACCTTGCACATAACAAGCAAGGGCGTTACCACTGAGAAACATCTCCCACTCTTGTTCTATATTTCAAAAGCATTAACAAAGATGGCACAGCAAAAACAGATAATGTGACCGTTTGGGTAATGAGGATTCCAAGAAGGAGATGCTGAGTCCAGAGTTGATTCTGTATTTCTAATTAGATTCGGATCTTGGCTACTTGGATTCATACCATTTCTGGTACAGGCCCAATGTACAGAATATCAGCTTATACTTAGTAATGGGAAATATTTATTAGTGAATGAGAGATAAATAGCACACCAGCAGGAGCCTCAGGTGTTTGTTTTTGAACCTGAAAGCAAAGATTAGGAACGATGCTTAGTTATTGCGTGAATTTAGTAAAATGACTCCGGAAAGGTGCGTGACACAGAGCTTAGCGCTGGGTCAGTGATAGGTAGATAGACCACAGAGACACAGGCATGGTTTCAGTGTACCGTATGCCTACGCCTACGTTGTGGCTGGGAATGAGTACAGTTAATAAGAATTTGCCCTTTTGTTCCTTTCGTTAGCAGGAGGAAATGGTAGGATCCCAAAATGCAGAAAGAGCATCACAACCTGGCCCTCTGGAGATTCCCGAGGCCTGGGCTGCAGATGTAGAACTGGTGGAGCGGATTTTAGGACCCTGAGCCTCGGGCGCGCGCGTCGGGCGAGGGCGAAGGCGCTCCCCGAACCCATCCGCATCCTGGAGGGCGGGCCTCACGCCCGGGGCGCGCTACGATTGGTGGGAGCGCGCGGGTGACGGTGACGGCTGGCGCGAGGCCCCGCCCCCGAGGCCCCGCCCCTCCCGCGCGCTCCGGCCGCCTGACGGCCTCGCTCTGGCCCGAGTCGCGCCCCCGCGCCGAGTCCGCGCGTCAGTCGGTCCTGAGCGCGGCTGCGGGGCGACGGGCTGCAGACGAGCGGGGCGCGCGTCCCGGGGGAGGCGACGGTGTCGCGGGAGGAGCATCGGAGCCCAGAGACTCGCAGGACGCTATGGCCCCCATTGGCCTCAAGGCGGTGGTCGGAGAGAGTAAGTGCGGCCGGGCTGCTGCCCCGGGGCCGGCGGAACCCGCTATCCAGGCGCCGCCCTCCCGGGAGGGAAGCCCCTCCGGCTTCCTGCGGTAGCAGGCTTCCCCGACTCACCTCTTCACCTCCGCCCTCCTCACCTCCTCAGCCTCCTCAGCCCCCGCTCCTCCACCCCGTCCTTCCTCTCCACACCCCGCCTTCCTAATCATCCCGTTTCCCTTTTCACCCTCATCCCTTCGCCTCCATCACGCCATCTCTACCCCTTCCTGTCACCCCGTCCCCTTCTCTCCCCCTCTCCCCCCCCACCCCCCCTCTCCGTCCCCCCCCCGCGCCTTTTTTTTCTCTTTTTCCCCTGTCTCGAGTCCCTCCCTATTTCCCACCCTCCCTCGTGAATCGTGACGAACGAAGCCGGGCCTGCGTCCTCCTCCCTCCCTGCCTCCCTCTCCCGGGAGCGGGGCGCTGTCCCCGGCCGCAGAGACCCACCTGGGAGCCGCTGGGCACGCGCCGCCGGCGCCGCTCCTGCCAGCTGGGGAGGGGACGCGGGGTTCTCCTCTGGCGGTGCGCCCAGGGCTCTCTCCGCCTCCCCTTCCCGGGGCCGGACTTCAAGGGCGGGGTCTCGGCGGGGTCCCGAACCCTTCGAAATCCCGAGGGAGAAGGGGAGCGCTTCCGAGCGTCGCGGGAGGAGTGGCCCCAGCCAGCGCCGCAGTCTGCAGTCTCCCTGCCCGTGCGACTCGGCCCGAGGCGCCGCTGCGGGGAAGATGGGCTTGTTTACGGGTTTGCGTGAAAGGCACAGCAGACGTTATTTTAATTAATTTTTAACATTTATTTTCATGTTGGACGGTGAGAGCGGGTTGTGGGTGTTTGAAAAACGGCGTTCCCAGTTCAGATGGGTGACCTAGGTAGAAAAATAGCGCCTCCTCAAATATTTTGACACGTCTTTATAATGAAAACGTGAGGGCTGCTGTGGCTTTCGCTATCTCCTTGTGGAGGAAGAGAAAATGAAAGTGGCTTTTCCCTGTAGAAGAGGTGGAAATTTACAGTTTCCTTTTTCAGTGAGCCTCTCCTATGATAGCTTGCTTACCCCGCCCCCCGGTCCCCCCCCCCCAGCAAATGCAGCATAACTGTTGAGGATCCTAACTGTCTCCCCATATTCTTTTGACTGGTATATGGGGACTACTCTTTTGGTGGAATCTAGCCATGTACAAGCTTCCCTGATAGAGTACATCAGAAGATATTATAAAAAGAAAACCCAGCACCCATCCTGTAAAGGTTATTTCAACTGTTTTCTGAGGAGAGTTTAAGGCTGGAAGGATCCATAGGGATTTTCTAATGTCAACGTCTTCATTTTAATCCATGGGAAAGAGGCGGTTAAATGACTTGCTGAAATCATTACTCATTAATTATTTTTAAAAAAAAAAATCTAGCGTCCATTTCCTTGCAATTTAAGCAAAACTAACTTTCTTGCTTTCTGCAGACACACAAGTTACCCAACACACCTTTCTCAAGGGTTAGAGGTGTGGGGTCAAATGTCATATTCCAGGTGTTATATCTGAATATTGCATTTGAAAGATAAAATATCTATTATAGAACCTCCCCCAAGACAGTTTCTGTAGTCCAGGCTGCAGGCCCGGGAGGCTTAACTTAGATTGGCTTTAAATATATCCCAGTCCTTCTGCCTCTCCGCATAGGTGTGAGGCACCATGTCCAACCAAACTTTAAAAAAAAAAAAAAACAAAAACAAAAACAAGGGCTCACTTTGCAGCCCTGGCTAGCCTGGTACTTGCTACCTAGCGCAGGCTAGTTTTAAATTCATGGTAATCTTCCTGCCTCAGCCTACCAACATTGGGGCTACAACCTGCACCTCCACATCCAGTTCAGAAGTGAGGTTTTTGCATACTTTTGCCAAGACCCTTGATTATGTCACCAAAACCTCTTGCCTTGCCTCTTCTAGAAGTAAGCGTCAAAAAAAAAAAAAAAATCAGTATGCAATATGGCCAAAATTTCTCTCGAAACAAAGTGAAACAGTGGTGTACAAAAATAAACCCAATTAAAAAAAATTGATGAATGTGTGAACAGGCTTCTATTTCTGTGACAATTGAGTTAGGCATGTGCTTTGGGAAAATACATCATTGAATATACTATTTTAGTGCTACCTTCTAATTTTTGGTGGGGTTTCTACTTTGTTTTTTTTTTTCCTCCAAAAAACTAAGACTGAAATGAAGATGCGTTTTCTCTTCTGCTGTCCTGAGAACTGAGTCTGATGTAGCCCAGATGCACCTGGAGGTGGCTGAGGCTTAGGGTGATCTAAATACTGATCTTCCAGCTTCTACCTCTGGAGTGTGCCACCGCCATCTCGGTCTAAGCAGTGTGGGGCCTTTAGTATGCTAAGCTGGCACTCTATCCACTGAGCTACATCTTCAGCTGAAGCGGTGTTTTAAAATCCCACTATGGACCAATTTAAATGTCACCTTCTTAGCCTGGTCCTCTTGATCTAAATGAACATCACGTAGTCACTGTCTTAGTTAGGGTTACTGAAGCTGTGATGAAAACACCTTTACCAAAATCAGCATGGGGAGGAAAGGGTTTATCGTGGAAGGCTGTCAGGACGGGGCAGGCACCTGGAGTCAGGAGCTGATGAGAGGCTGTGGAGGGGTGCTGCTTACTGGTTGGCTTGCTCAGTATTTTTCTTATTTTATATATATATATATATATATATATATATATATATACAGTCAAGGCTACACAGGGAGACAGGGTTTCCTTGTGTAGCCTTGACTGTCCTGGACTCACTCACTCTGTAGACCAGACTGGCCTCAAACTCACAGAGGTCTGCCTGCCTCTACCTTCCCAAGTGCCAGATTACAAGCATGTGCCACCACACCCAGCTTCAGCCTGCTTTCTTATAGAGCCTAGGACCACCAGCCCAGGGGTGGCCCCATCAGCAGTGCGCTGGGCCCTCCCGCTTCACTCCGTAATTAAGAAAATGCCCTACAGGCTTGCCTACAGCCCCATTTTACAGAGGCATTTTCTTAATTGAGGCCACTTCCTCTCTGGAGGCTCTAGCTTGTGTCAAGTTGATATAAAACTAGCCATCCACAGTCACTGGCAAATTTTTCATAAGTAAAAAGTGATCTTGTTCATTTTTCGTTTGTTTGTTTGTTAGTTTGGCAGGGGTGGGGGGGTACATCTGTTATAGCTATTTGAATGTCACAGACCAGTTCTCTGATATAGGTCTGGTCCCCAAACTTGCAACGGTTCATAGTTAGCAGTTGGTAAATGAACAAATGTCATTTAGAATATGAATAAGTGTAAAATAAATGTAATTTTGAACCCCTTGCCTTCCTGCACAATCTGCCCTGGTTTAACTTAGAACCTTGCACATGTGCGGTACTAGAGCCAGAGCCTTCTGGTCCCTTCTGAGCTGAGCTTTACTGGACAGCCCACAGGCTGTAGGTATAAGAAAAGAAGAGGATATGGGTTGACTTAGCTCCTTATTCTACAGACATTTGTTTAGAGAGTGTGAGGAACTATGGGAGTTTCAAAGCTGAAAGCTGAATAAAACATGAGGCTGTGCCAAGCAAACATGGTAGCCTTTAATTCCAGTACTGGAGAGGCAGGGTTCCAGGCCAGCCAGGGACACTTAGTGAGACCCTGTCTCAGAAACAAACAACAAACTCTAAAACCAAAACAACAACAAATTGGGATTAGTTTAGTTACACTACGGTGGCAGACAGTCCTCCAGGAAGCTTTCCATCGCCTCCTGAAGCAAGTTTCTTCGGTGGAGAGTGGGGGGTCTTATTCTTGCGTCTGTCTTCAGCGTGTAGTGGAGGTGCTGACACCCAGTTAATATTGCACAAATAGCTAATGAGAAAGAGAACAGACGCAGTAATTAGAATTATGGGAAAAATTCAGACCCTGTGCCAGCTGGGATTATGGGTTCTTGTGCCTCCGTGCCAGCTCTTTCCTGGGGACGAAGTCAGGTCCTCACGCCTGCCTAGTAAAAGCTTAAGTAGCCGAACCATCTCCCCAAATCTAAAGGCTCGTGTATTCATTTATTCATTTCAGAGCTACAGCTTAATTTTTAAATTACATTATTTGTTTGTTTGTTTGTGCGGGGGTTGCCACAGAGCATGTGGAGGTAAGAGGACTTTCAGGCCCCTCCCTTTAGCTACCACTCAGGTCCCAGTAATCAAACTCAGTTCAGGGCCGGCTGCAAATACCCTTATCCACTGAACCATCTTGCTGACCCAGGGCAATGGTGTATATATATATATATATATATATACATACACACACATACATATATATGTGTATATATATATATACACATATATTATACACATATTTTAAGGATCATTTTTATTTGTGTGCCTGAGGTGTAGGTACCTGTGGAATCCTGAAGAGTGTATGAGATCCTGTGGAGCTGGAGTTGTAGGTGGTTGTGATCCACTGGATGTCCAGGCTAGGAATCAAATGCAGGTCCTCTGGAAGATTCTGTCTCAATAAACGGATTTTCTCATACTGTTCCCTATAGGCCATCCTCCTACTCTCAGCTTCTGTCAACCATTGGACTCTTTATTCCCAGTGCAGCTCTCTTGTTTTTGTTGTTGTTGTTTGTTTGTTTGTTAGATTTTATTTATTATGTATACAATGTGTGTTTGCATGTACACCTGCACGCCAGAAGAGGGCACCAGATTTTATTTTAGATGGTTGTGAGCCACCATGTGATTGCTGGGAATTGAACTCATGACCTTTGGAAGAACAGCCAGTGCTCTTAACCTCTGAGCCATCTCTCCAGCCCCTTGTTTGTTTGAAGGAAAGAGCTCACTATGTAGCCCTGGCTAGCTTGGAACTGCCTATATAGACCAGGATGGCCTGGTCAGAGAGATCCACCTGCCTCTGTCTCCTGAATGTTGGCATCAAAAGCATGCACCACCCCACCCAGCTTTTTAGAAGTGATTTCTGCGGCTGGGGAGACGGCTCAATGGGTAAAGTGCCTGCTCT